CTTTGAAACTTCAGTTCTGCCAGAAACTTTTATGAGATATAATGATACACTAGAGTTGACTTGTCTTGAATTATAAATGTAAAATATCAAATAAAAAATTACCCTGTATAATGATATTTATCACAAGTGAATGTAGTCAACAATGTGATTTAATCTTTGAAATTACCTCATTTTCCATGAATGGAACAAGCACCTGTATTTACTAAAATCCCAGGCTACATGTTAATTAGATCACAAAAATTGCATGTAATGAACTGGCTTAGGCTTTGAATCTGGTTGTAGATACGCTCCTGCTTCCATCATTCTGTCCGAGCCACCGCTGTCCGGACACAAAACTCAAGGCAAGACATTTACTATCCAGAAGGTACAGAGTTGGACTAACCCCAGGACTACTCACCGGGTAAAACCCAGCTTGTACCAAGCTTTTGAGTTTGAATTTCTGATAAGAAAGAAAAGCAAAACAAAGCAACTGCATTGGTTAGGAAAGGGGATTTCATGGTCTAGGATGAAAGATAGGAAAAGAGTCAAAGTAAAACTTAGAAGTGACTGTTTAAAGGAGTCACACTGAGTAGGCAGATGGGCAGGTAAAATATTAAAGAGCTCCTTTATTTCCATATTTATTACTTCTGATGACAGTCTATCAGTCAAAATATAAAATGTGTTTAAGTCTTAAAAATAGTTTATTTAGCAAGTTATAGCTGTTTTTACTTTTGAAAGCATCAAATGATTTTTAGATAGTAAGATGAAATTGGTATGAACAGTGGGCAGCAGATTGTGAGCACCACCAGGGCTGTGAGAGTCCACACTGCAACTGCTCCTTCTTGAATTTGGGCTGTCATTTGTGAATCTACTTTTTCCTATTATAATAAAATTTTAGTTTTTCATCTCTGCTGAAACTTATGGTTTCAAGGAGACGCCATCACTTAAGTTTATATTCCATCTTCACCCCACCCTGACACTTCCATAATTCTAGTGAGGTTTCAAATTACAGATTATTCAGTTTAGTCAGTTAAATTCTTCAATGCTACAGAAAGCGTCCGATGAGCTGTGCTATGTATGCCAAGCTGGAGCATTTGGCTTAGGCGTGTAAGTTACTCTAGCACAAGCCGGCAGATCGCAGAAAGAATGGTGTGATCAGTAGTCACAATTTCTGAGACAATTTGTTAGAACCAGGAGTGTTTAAGGCTTTAAACGTTCGTGGTAAGGATCTATAGAGAGCTCCAGTTTCAAATGAGAGTAAAATCTTGCCTTTGAAAGCATGCGGGTACTTCCCATTGAAGGGGGGAATTTCATACACTGACTACAATAATGACACTCTCGGCTCTCTGGGAGAGAAAGGGAGCAGATGCCATTTGAAAGAGAAAGATTAAGTCATATCCGGAGAAACGGAAGGTTTTGTGACACCTTTTAAACAGGCAGTCTCCTGTTGACTTCTAAGGATGTCAATTTTCCACCTGCGAACTTGATGGTTTGTGACCCCAGTTACAGGTGAGAGGGCAGAATGACTTCTTTTTCTAGGGGCCGCAAGGCAATGCCTTTGAAATTTGGAACTAGGGTTTTGCTATTTTGATAGGCTGTTTATAAACAGAAGAGTGATTGTATCCCACACTGTAGTTTCAAAGGTTTCCTGAAATGCTTCCTGAGTTATGCATGAGTCAACCGGCCTTTGAAACTGTCTAGTAGGAGCTTGATGGTATAAATTTAGCATCACTTACATAGGTCTCACACTGGAAAAGCAATTAGCTGAAAAATCGTTTTCATTCAATTCAGTTATTCTGCTGGGTCCAGATTTAATTCATAAATTTCAGATAAGGGCAGAGGAAAGAAGGGGGATTCAGGAAGTCTCATTAATTTAGAAAAAAAGGAGTATCCTTTTGGCTGCAGTTTGCATATAATGAGACAAGAAGAACTGATGTCACATTTTCTTCTATCACTTTATAAAATCAAAAATTAAAAAGATTATAACAAGGCTTGATTATTTCCGGCCACTCTTCAGAATCATAATCCCTTAGGAATCATAGTGGTTTTCCCCCTCTTTTTACCACCTAGGACAGTTCCTCTAACACACTAGGTGTTAAATAAATATTTGTTGAAAGAAAGAATTGTTACTTAATAAATTCTAAATATCACGACCAAAGGGTTATATAAACTTGTACAACAATATCAGAAGTTTAATCAAATAACCAGTGATATATCAATTTATAGGAAAAAAAATCATGATATATTTTTCTGTTTAATAGTAACCAAACCAGATTTTTGCCCAGAAAATCTGAGTGTAAAATTTTAAAGAACATAATCACTTATAATCTCTTTGCTTCTTCATTAATTTGTGGCCTGTGTGTTTGTAACACATAGTTGTGTTTTTTGGGGGGTGGAGGGTGGCTATTGCTGACCTATATATGATTCTGAAGGTTTTATAACTTTAATAAATATTAATTTCACATTTTCTATTGTGAAGATTTTATAACTTTAATAAATATTAATTTCACATTTTCTATTGTGAAATTAATTCATGTGGGCTGGCACAATAGGAAAAATATAGTTTCATGACAAAAAAAGATTTCCTTCAAAAAGTAACTATATTATTCAATTAACCAAAAGACATGAGACAAACAGATTTTACTTATGTCTTAATAATCAGTGTTCAGGAGACGTGGGGTTGGGGGGCGGCCTTAAGTGAATCTCTTTCGTTGCTCCTTTCTCCCAAAGGAAAACTAGAATGACAAAGAAAATGCAAGCTGCTCCAGCCACTTGACTTGCAAATCAATTGGCCTGGATTCTAACTGGGAATTAAGCTCCAATAAAAGGTAGAGGGCTGGTGCTAAAACAACAGGGACCAAAGCAGGAAGCTTTGCCTTTGACAGTGAATGACTAAAGAGCAGTGTGTCAAAAAAGACTATAATTTGGTTGGATATACTGTGTGGGCAATGCAAGCGCTGACGGTCAGGTTATTGTGGCTTGGTATAAAGTTCTTAAGTAGCCAGACTGGCTGTGTCTAGCTTGATCCCCGTTTTAAAAAGCTTAGAATAACTAGCGATTTCCTGGCATGTGGGCAGTATTTGTTGAATAGAAGGGCTATTAATGGGGGGAAAAGTCAGATGGAACACTGTGCTCTCAGTTTTTCTGGGAAAGGAAGTAACAATGAAATGATTCCATCATTAGCATTATTTGCAACTTTGACCCAATATTTTCAAACTATAGCTTTAAAAATTATACTCTTTTTCAAACCACATTTTTTGGGAAAACTAACCAGATTCTAGGGTAGGGAAAATTCAGTGCTCATTATTGGCCATTGCCTAAAATCTGCCGTTCTCCAGTGAGTGAGTGGTATACATCTATTTGTGTGTGAGAAAAAAAGAGAGGGAGAGAGAGATGGGGGTGTTTTAATAGGTAATCTGTGTATGTAGTTTGTGGGAGATGTTTAGGGGTTAGGTTATGTATATGAAAATTTGGAATGGAAGCTGTCATGGTCAGAAGGTTAATCCTTTTGTGTAGCAGTGACTTTTATCCCCAGTTGGACAGGTAGGGAGATAAGCTCTGGGGTGATTTTTTTGTTTGTTTGCCTGTTTCTTGGTTAAGCATCCTTTTGGAAATGAAGCTACAAAACAGAGAACAGAGAAACAGAACCAAGTAGGCATCAGCCATCTTGGGAAAAACGAGGCTGAAGTGAATGAAATATCTATCCTTCCAGAAACTGGACTGACATTCTATCCCCTTCAACCCTGCCCCAGCCAGAGTCACCTCTTCTCTACCATACTCTGTGTTCCAAGAATAAGCTGAGTGCTGCACATATAAATACTGTGAGGGCTTGTAACGGTCCAGCAAATATGGCACACATGATTCTTTCACGTGCTTGAATAAAGAACAATAGCCTTTCATCATTATCTCTTTGGGTCTGTGCTCTTTCGATTGTATTGGTAGGGGGAAAAATTTGGAGATCAAGCACTAAAAACTGTAACTTTGTAGACATCACCGGATATACTACCGATTGAGCAAAACCCCAATCTGATTAGCCCAACAGGCTTATCATTCAAAAGGAATATCCCTGCCCTCCTTACTGTTACCCCCATCAGGACAAACCCAAAGATCCTTTAATGTTAATATTAATAGTTATAAATTTGGCCCAGTGGTGGGGTAGGGAAGGGGCAGGAACCAACCGCACAGTGGAAGAGCTGCCAAGTAAACACATTTTCCTCAAGTCAAGTTTTAGTAGAAACTTTTCCATTGGAGGACTTTCTTTAGATCAAACATTTCCAAGTTCGATTAAATAAAATAGTTTTTTTTAAGGAACTGAGATCTATGATATATTTATATCCATATTTCTAAACATCTGAGTCTAAAAGACATAAAAATTAAGCAGCGATGCAGTCACTGAATAGCAAGGCATGTCCACATTTCAAAGAGGCATAAAATGTGAAATGATATAACAATAGGTCAAAAATATGAAACAGATTTAGCATAGTCATATCGTATTAAAAAAAAGGTAAAACACACTATTTAGTTACCTAAATTAATTTACAGGAAAACGGGATCTTAGAAGTCCTCCGATGAGCCAAGTGCAGATAATCTAAAGGTGTGAAGTGCATGTTTTATTTCTAACTGTCCCCTTGAACAAGAGAACGTGAGGTAATTAGAAAGTATTCAATGCATTCTGGACTGTTCTGTTAAATGTCCCAGGCAAGATAAATCAAAATGCTTCAGAAAAGTAAGGCCTAGTTGAGTATTTGGGAAGAGGCCCCCCTTCAATCAGCTAGTCACTAAATGGAAAGCTCACTGTACACTCGTTTTGTAGAGATGGATTGATCACGCTGTAGAAAAGGCTGGTTGCTGAGGATGTGTCTCTTCCATGCTCCTCAGGCTCCTCTGCTTTTACCGAGTTAGGTCTTCAGAGTGGCGAAGGAAAACAGGTCGTTTTTCCTTCATAGAGTATCGTTGGATGATTCCTCTATATTAATTATATGAACCTTATAATAATTACAGATTTAAAAATTAAAAAAAAATTTTTTTTTTTAATCTCAAAGAGTTCTCAGTCCCCACCCCTCACAAGTTACCATGAAGGGGCACTAAAGTGCATTTTGATGTAGGGGAGTAGAGTTTAAAGGTGCTGTCCAAGCTAAGAACCAAGATGATGCTGTTTAAAAAAGAAAGGCAATTCCTTCTACCTCCATCTCTGGAGTCAACTGAGGGAGGGCAATGAAGTAGACCCTCACCAAAGGATTGTCCTAACTCTTAACTTCAGAGAAAACTGTGTAAGGACCTGCACATATAGACTCATTTATTTGTCCAAAATAGCAAAAATAGGCCTATTTCACCCTTAAGAAAGTATTTGCAAATTTGATCAGTTATGATAGTAAAAATGTGAATGGATTCCAGATGCAATCCATGTGGGCATGCTTGGTGGTCCTAACTATGCATCGTCAGCTTAAAAGAACATGCTGCTGTTCATTTTCATCAAAACGTGACTTCTAACTACCATAAATAAAATACACATGGAACGATTAAATCTTTTTCTTACAATAATTACTTTTACATTAAAAAGTCACCATCATCTTCAGATAATATCGAAAAGTAGGACTCTAAATCTTATTATTTCCCAGTCTTAGTTAACAATTTTGCACAGGCCCGATAATCCAAAACTTGGAGCTCTGGTCTACACAACTTGGCAGGTTTCACACAGTTTGACAGGTAGGCAATTGTGAGATATGCTTTTTAAAAATTAGCATTTTCTATCAAAACAGTCTGACATCTTTTTAAAATCCTCATAGAGACTGTATTTGTGCAATGCCACAGACACATAGCTAGAAAGGAGGAAACAAAATACAGTCTGGGAGATTCACCACAGTCCAAGTTTTCTTGGTCCTCAGTTTAAACAGCCGGGAGCCCGGGGAAATCCAATTAAATACAGTGCTTTAAATAGAAGAGCTGGTCCTGGAATAACTTCAGCTCCTAGACGGGGACGGTCTCAACCACGGGCGACTTGATGCACTCTTCATGCAGTCGGCTCTTTTCCGCCAGGCTCAGAGGGTTTTCAGCAGAACGCTCTGGGATGTGACCGTCGCCGTTCAACGCAGGGACAAACCCATCCTGGGAGGGGCCTTTCAAGTACGAGTGAAATTCCATCGGGGGATGGCTGGGCCTGTGCTCGGGATATAGGCCAGCGCAGGGCACGCCGCCGTCACCTTCCGAAGAGGAGCAGCAGACGATGACGGACGGGTTGGCCGCCGGGTAGTGGGCCGCGCCGTAGGCCTCTTCTGCCTGCCGGGCGTAGTCCACGAACTGCTCGGGGGTCATGGTGTAAGGCACCAGCGACAGGGGACCGTTCTTGACAGCGTCTCTTTCGGCATAGCTCTCGGCGAGGGGGCTGGGAGCCCCGGGGATGTGGCTGTCTATCTGGTAATAGAGGGTGGACGAGCTGGCATAGAAGGGGGCGTTCTTCGCGTGGCCGTCGTGAACAGCGGTGCCGTCGGAATAGCAGAGCACGGAGGGAAGGGGGACCACCTCGGCGTGGGGGCCCAGGCCGTCCCCGAAGCCATCCCCTTTCCCATCATCTTCCTCCTCCTCCTCCTCCTCCTCCTCCTCCTCGGACTCGCTGGGCGCCAGGCTCTGCGTGCTGGAGTCGGTGGCCCCGCTGCAGAAGCTGCTGCCGTCCTCCTCCTCTTCCTCCTCCTCCTCCTCCTCGCCCGGGCAGTCCAGCTCCTCGGCCGACGGCAGGTGCAGCACCGCAGCCTGGGGGTCACCTTCGATCTCGAAATTGTCTGCGAGAGAATATTCCACCGAGTGGGCCACGGGGCCCACGGAGCTGCTGGGAGCGCCCAGCTCGCCGTGGCAGCCGTTCAGCGTGGGGACCTGCTGCTCCCGGTTCTTCTCCAGCTCGAGCTTCATGATCGTGTGCAGAAAGTGAGTCCGGACACGGATGGGGTTGAACTCGATTCTGCCTGCCGTGTTGCTGCAGCCTTCTTTAGAGCAGCCGCACGGGAAGGACATTCGGTCCACCTTGGAAGGAAGGACACGGGTTAGGCCCGCGGAGCTCTTGCAAAGCAAATGGAAACGCGGTCCCTCTCCAACCCCTTTTGGGTCTGGGATTGCTTCGTTCCGCTTTTGCCAGAACAAATGGCAACCAAATTACAAATAGAAGCGAAGAGGGAAAGCGAAGGCAACACGAGTCAATCTAGTTTTAACACATATATTCAAAATCAAAAGGGGTTACAGTATTACACTAAAACTATGGTGTGTACTTTTAGTTCACTGACCCCTCCTGTGCTTTCTTTACGTCTTACCTTTCCTTCTGATGCTGTTTTTCATCTAAATTATATGCCATCCCCATACTGGTTCATCTCCTTTTTTCTTGGCTTATTATAAAATGAACTTTTCTACCCAAGGGGTCCAGATTGACCTCACGCAGGATCGGGTAGCCTGATAATTTGCTCTCCTGGGCTTGCCTTCCCATTCTTTTGGATCTTTGTACATGCATGTACTTGAGGCCTCGTGTGTTTAGGTCCTGGCTCCTTCCTTCCCCTCCCCACTCCATTAGACTGCAAGCTTCTCAAGTAAAGGGGGTGCTCATTTAATCAGTATCTTAAAATTAGCTGAGTGACTGGATTCTGTAGACAGAGGAATGGGTTTCAGCAAGTGTTGTTGAACTGAACGTGTGAATCAAGCGATATGTGGAATTCTGGGAAACCCAAGGGCACTCCTAAGACATTTGCTAACTGTCCCCGATTCCTCCACTTAACCTGTATGCAGAGCAGAGCACAGGCCACCAGAAAGAACTTGCCCTGTTGGCTACCTTATCCAAACGCGGGGAATTTCCTAACTACAGAGGAGAAGGCAGACTCTCACACGGTCATCCTGGGCCCAATAAAAATTAGTAGCAGATGTCAGAGTCAGAATCGATAGCTGGTTTTTTTACTCATTAATCCCTCTTCTGTGAATCTACCTCGAACCACTGTTCAGCTGATGAGAACAGTCTTTTTCTTCTGCCTGCCCAAAGGGCCCTCCTTATTAAAATAGCCCAGTTTTTACCTAAAATAATGACACCTCACTAATTATGGAGCACCAATGGTATTATATAGATGAATGGGGACCTGAGAATCAAGAATTGGCAAACTTTTTTTTGTAAAAAAGTTTACATGTTTCATTACATGTAGGGGTCAGAGAGTAGGTATTTTAGACTTTGTGGGTCATAGGTCTCTGTGGGAACAACTCGGCTCTGCGTAGAGGTGTGAAAACTGTCTTGGACAACACATAAACAAACAAGCAAACAAAAACATGCCTGTGCTTCCACAAAGTTTTATTTACAAAAAACCGGTGACAGGCCTGTGAGTTATACAGTTCGCCAACCCCTGATCAAGTTCAGCCTTTTCACGTTAGCGATGTGGAGACAGAGCCCAGGAAGCTGACACTGCCAGTTTCACACAGCTGGCAAAAAGCAGAGCCAGGAGTAGAACCCCGTTTTCTCAGTCTCAGTCTAGTAAATTTTCTACTAGTCTATACCACCTCTAACCAACCCCTGGATGGGTCAGAAAATAGAAACTCAAACGTTAGGGATGCCATGATCTGCCTGAATGCTTGCAAAAAACCAAAATCAGCTAGTGTAAGAAATGAACCCAAGAGCAAATAATGCCGGTTGACATAGCTGCAGCTTGGGTTGCCTTTCACCTTACACCTGATATGCATGAGCATATTACATATACCCATAAATGTCCTCAAATGAGTATTTTTCCTTTCTTAAATCATGTGTCTTGCCTTGCACTAAGTTTTCTTCTACACATGAGAAGCTTCATTACATGCAACATGACTGCCTCTTTAGGGGGCGGTGTATTATCTCCTATCCTTGGATTCCCTGAAATGCAAATCCTTACCTGACACTTAATGCCTGCCAGGCTGCAGGTACATGTTTCCGGATCACAGAACACACGGCAGTCACAGCCACAGTCCTCTCGTGACAGGCGGATGGCTCGCAGCTCATGCTTTTCTTCCACATCAATTTTTTTCACTCCGGACGCCCGCAGCAGTGCTCTCCGTTTTTTTGTTGGCAGGGGTTGTAGGAAGAAGTACTCATCTACCTCTGTGTTGTCCAAATCAATATCATCATCAGAAATGTCATCCACTGTAAGGGTGCTGGCTTCTTCAGACTCCACTGTGCCGTTCTTAGTCATCTAGAAACACAAAGCGGCAAATGAGAGACCTCGCGTGCGCAGGGGCTAAAATCCCAACTTTTATACTCGGTAACAGTGAAACTATTACATAACACCACGTCCCCATAATCAATAAGTTGTTGTGGGTCAAATCAATTCCATTTATTTTGTTCTTTAGAGAAGTCACGGGGAGGAAAGTGAAGGCATCAAAATGACAGGCTTTTAAAAGCACTGGCAGCAGAGGCTGTTAATTGGGCCTCTTAACCTCCTAACGTTAGAGCCAGAGTCCGAGCTTTCAGCCAGTGCCCCGCGAAAGGGACCAAGGGTTACAGACGCCCATCAGCGAAAGCTGTCTTCAGACTTGGTTCGTGACGGGCAGCTCTGATGTTGGAATAAACGTGTCCTTGTTCAGAGCTGATAGCGTCTTAGTGGGAGCCATTGCCACCCAAATCAGCAAACACACTGTCCTTGAAAATGACCACCCCGTTGTTGGGAATCCAGCAAAACCCCGTACTAGGAGATAAAGCTGTGCTGCACTGTGCTTTTGGGATCACAAACACGGTTGCCCTACAGAGCATTCCAAGAACGAGCACTTGATATGAAGCAATCAGTCAGGTCGGTGCGCTCTCACTAAGACAAGGAGCAGAGGGCAGTGCTGGCAGGAGCTCGCCAGTGGGCACTGAGTCAATAAACTTGGCCCTCAGAGGAGTTCTCAAGAGCCTGTGCCCACAGCAATACCTTCCTCCTTACAGCTCATAGCTATTCTGCTTCTATTTATATTTATTTTCTAAATTAATTTCATCCATCAGTAAACCCTGAGTCAGTATTTCACTTCTTGCAGTTCTACCACCATATATTGTTTCCTTATAAAAAAGCATTTAGAAAGAGATGTTTTCTCTTAATATGAGCAAAAAATGAACTGTGAGGAGTAGCACAGGAATAAGTGCCAAAGCTCTGTAATGGATTATTTTTAAAAAGTTCTAAACACAGAAGCATTTTTGATTCTCTAATTTTTAAATTTATTCATAAATGTCACTAATTGTAATTACTACAGTTCTTTTTTATCTTAATAATGGCTCAGTCATTACACAGCTAAAATATTCCCGTGACATCAGACATCATTCCCTTTACTTCATAGAAAAGTCCGACATTTAGCCTGGCCGGGCGTGGCTCAGCGGTTAAGCGTCAACCTAGGATCCAGGCGATCGGGGTTCGATTCCCAGTCAGGGCACATGCCCGGGTTGTGGGCTCGATCGATGACTCTCTCATCACTGATGTTTCTGTCTCTCTCTCTCCCTCTCCTTTCTCCTCTCTGAGATCAATAAAGATATATTTTAAAAAAATTAAAAAAAAAATAAAAATAGAAAAGTCCGACATTTAGATAATAATATTAATTATTGAATCCCAAATCCCAAACTGGATTACTCTGAAAGTATTGAAAGATGAATAGAGGATTGCTCTTTGCCCTCAAGTAGAGGAAACAACACAGTAGCAAGTTTGTATTTTAAAATATACTCCAAAGGGTCCCTGAAATGCATTTTCAAAAACTATTGAATTGCATCTTTTTAATATTTCAGAGCTTAAATCTACGTTCTTACAAAGGTGTGCATTCCCCTTTGCTAGGTTTTGCTTCTTGGCGTGATCTGCAATATATTTCCTTCCTTGGCATTTCTTTATAAAGGTATTGGTTAAGCTCTTTTCATGTTTCCGGGATGTCCACTATTAGGATGTTATTTTGATTGGCTGCCTTTACCATTTGTGTTAATTCTTATTTGCAAACAGAAGCATCTTTTTATCTGTAAAGATCTGATTTGCTAAGGAATTCAAGTGTGTAATTGCCTAACAGCTACTCAATTCTCTGTGACAGGAAAAGCTGCATTAACAAACAGGAAGAGTTACCTTTCCTATCTTGTCACCTCTGTGGCATTTAGATTTGTTTTCATTGATTCCTGGCTTGCCTATGGGACCCTCATCAAGCTTCTGACTCCACAACCAATGCAGAACACCCAGGACTTGGTTAGCATGATTCATTTCAATACCTCCTTGCTATTTAATCTCCATAATATTTCTATAATATTTATGCTCCCTTGTGTAACTAGTAACATCACAAAACAACAATAGGGTTTGATCTATAAAAAGTAATGATTGCGCCCTGGTTGGTGTTGCTCAGTTGGTTGGGGGTTGTCCCGTGCACCAAATGGTTGCTGGTTCGATCCCCAGTCAGGGCACTTGCCCGAGTTTTGTGCTCAATCCCCAGTAGGGGGTGTGCAGGAGGGAGCTGATCAATGTTATGCTCTCATACTGATGTTTCTCTCTTCTTTTGTCTTCTCTCTCTCTAAAAATAAATAAATTGCTCTTAAAAAAAAAAAAAGGTTGCTATCATATAATGCATGAAATCTGAAAGGTAATAAAAACCAAGGTTTTAGCAAACATTTAAAAGCATAAAAAATTTAGGGTATTATGAATAACCAACTGGCACTTAAAAATTTTTTAAAGTTTGCATCTCAAACATAGATGATTCTTATTCCAAATACAAATGCTCCTTGGAACAAAATCTGCATCTCTTATTCTCACATACTTAAATTAGAATAAATAATTTCCTTTCAAAATAAAAACTCCATTAAGAAGCTAAAAGTCTTTCCCACAAAATTACATACTGTTATTATTGTTGCTCTAGAACTCACAAGTGGTCCTAATCTAGATTTTCAAAATCTCACATTAGCATTGAAGTGATCTGGCCAGATTTCCCCCTCACCTCTTCAATACCATCTCTGTCGTTTCTAATAAAGACTGGAAATATTCTAATTCAATCTGGTCAATTGGCTTATCTTCCCCTCTTCACAGTTTCTGGTTTGGAACGTAGCCATCGAGAGATATTACTCTCTTCTGTCCCCTTGGAAGTCCTTCCCCAGTCCTCTCCTCCTGTCTGTACACATTTGCTCCTTTAAAACCCAGGCCAAACCTAATGAGTTTAAATGCTTTTTAAAATCAGCGTATTGCAAAGGTTATTTTTAAACGTGTTTACTCATATTAGAGCAATAGGGGGAAAAGTCAGTTAGCGCCCTATTTCCCTCATGCCCATCATGCTCTCAAGATCTAGTGCAAAGAAACCAAGGAGTCCTCCAAGACGTCCTAATCTACTGTTGCTGACTCCTTTACTCCATGACCCATCTTCAGAATATTCATTTTTTTTTACATTTTTCCTCTTTTTCCCCCTCCAACTTTATTGAGATATAACTGACATATAACACTGTGTAAATTTTAGGTGTACAACTTGTTGATTTGATGCACTTATATATTGCATGAGGATTAGCACTATAAGTAAAACGTCACAGTTGCCATTTCTTTTTTGTGTGGTGAGAACAGTTAAGATCTCTCTTAGCAACTTCAGAGTATATAATACTATAACCACCCTGCTGTACATTAGATCTCCAGAACTCATTCATCTCTTGACTGAAAATTTGTACCTCTGACAACATTTTCCCATCCCCCTCTTCCAGCCCCTGGTAAGCACCATTCTACCCTCCCTTTCTATGAGTTCTGCTTTTTTAGAAGCCTCATGTGAGATCATACAGTATTTGCCTTTTTCTGCTTGATATATTTCACTAAACATAATTCCCTCAAGGTCTATCCATTTTGCAAATGGTAGGATAGTCGTCCTTTTCATGGCTGAGTAACATTCCATCATATATAACAATTTCCCTCTTGACATGAATGTTGCTTTTAAATGTCTTTACCTTATCTCAAAATACATTCATTGAATTTTCAGACTTTAGCTCATCAGACGGAGCTTCCTTTTATGCATTAATGAGGCTCAGATTAATTGTGACCTCTCCAAAACATGCTTAGAGAACATAATTCTCGGACCCCTATTTTAGTAGCTTTTCCCTGTATCTTCCAGATAGATTCCAATTTCTGACAGCACCTAATACAGTGCTGTCACTCTAACATGACACCGAATACAATGTGTCTAAAAATTTCTTCTGCTTATAAAATGAATGCGTACAGAGTAACCAGCACATGCAAAGGAATGTTCTCCTTTGAGACAGATACCTTGGAAGGCAACCTGGTACTCAGACCATTTCTAGTTCAGTACCCTTCCCCTCAAATAATGTTGCCTTCCCCATAGCTCAAAGAAAGATTGCCAAAAATGGGGTTTAAGGAGATCACCAAGCAATCCTGGCCCTCAAACCTACTTTTATTCTTGTGTACGTGTGTGTGGAAAAAGAGAGGCTGGAGGCAGGGGTGAAAGAGATAGGAGAAACGGATATGATACAAGTACAATATTAACAACAGTTTTGGAATCTGTGTGCTAGGCACTGCTCGGAGTACTTTACCTGCATTAACTCATTTAGCATCACAAAAATCTCATGAGATACCTATTATCATTGTATCTATTTAACTGATGAGGACACTGAGGCACAGGTATGCTAAATAACTTGCCTAAGATCGCAAGCAGTGAGGACGTGCGCTAAGTCACAACGTGGATATCTGACTCTATAGCTTATGCCTTTAGCTACCATGATAAGTACATATATACACTGTTTTTCTATATTTAATATGTACTATATGGTCTGTTGTGCTTATTTTGTATTAGGTATTAGGTGTATCAGTGCACAAGACACAAGCCTTGATCTTAAGGGATTGGAGTAGAGATGAGAAATCTAGTAATTTCAATCTAGTCCGTAAGGACTTCCTAGCTGAGGGTGAACACAGGGCATTAGAGAGTATGTAGGAGGGACGCCTAGAGGTGGGGTGAGGAGGGAAGACGTTCACGTCTAGGCTTAACTCTGAAGGTGGAGCAGCAGTTAGATGAGCCGGTGGAGGCAGAAGCATTCCACACTGAGCAACAGCAGTTTCAAAGGCCTCAGGTGAGGCACAGGAGGAGGCATTCACTGGCCTCCGACTTATCCAGACGGCTGGACTTGTACGGGATCCCTACCTGTCTTGGTCCATAAGCAAAGAATAAAAAGCAGATAAAGAGCAGGCTTCAAAGAGTAGCTCCTGTGCTCTCCTGCCGT